CCCCCTCCAACTCCATTCTTCCATGATTCTAGGATCCCTAAACCAGGCTCCACGGGACATGGCGTGGCCCTTTAGAGAAAGCATGTAGGTTTGATTAGAAAGTATGGAAGCAGGCAGGGGGGATCGCAGACCTGGGCTGAATGGCCCCCATCCATCCTGGATCTCTTTTGGGGTTGTGTAGGATATTTGTTTTTCTACGGCAAGCAAGGAAAGTGACCATGTTTTAACTGGTTTATGAAAATGTGGATGCCAAGTGTGATGCAGTGGATCGAGTGATGGGCTAGGACTCTGGAGAACAGAGTTCAAATCCCCGCTTGGCCATGGAAACTCACTTGGGGGGAGTGGAATTGGCAAAAACCCCTCCTTAAATCTCTCACTCACCTCGAAAGCCCAATTAGAGACACCCTAAGTTGGTTCTAACTTGTCGGCACAGAACAGCGAGAACAACATATTAAAATTAAGCTGCGCTTATCTTTGTTGCTTTTCCTTCAGTATCAGCCAAAAAGATGTGATTATTACAAAGACAGAAGAAGACCCCTTTATGGGACATCAGATTCATTGAAGGAAACATTATACAGTGGTGCCTCGCTTAACAAGCGCACCGTACAACGACAAAATCGCATAGCGATCCCTTTTTTGAGATCGCTGATGCGATCGCTCAACGTTTTTTAGATAGGGCAAAATTCGCTTTGCGAAGATCGGTAAGCGTTTCGCTTACCGATCTTCGCAAAACGACCCCCGCCGATCAGCTGTTCGGCGGCCAAAATGGCCGCCGGAAGCCGGGAAATGGCCTAAAATGGCCGCGCGCAGCGGTTTCGCGCCCTCGTTAAGCGAGGGGAGGGCGCGAAAATGGCTGCCGGCCATTAAGAAGCATCGCTGAACGGTGAGTATTCAGCCCATTTGGAACGCATTAAACCATGTTTAATGCGTTCCAATGGAATTCCCTGCCCCGTTCAACGATGCTTCAGCATAGCGAAGGTTAATCCGGAACGGATTAACCTCGCTATGCAAGGCACCACTGTATACTAACTGCAGGGCAAAATCTCCGAGTGGGCAAAATCTCATTGCTAACCAAACAGAGCAAAAGTCATAGGAATTACCAATTGTCTTTATCTTCCCGACGTGTTTTTTTCCTTTGCGCTCACCCACAACCGGCATTTTTTCCCTGAACTCTAGCATGTCTATTCTTTGTTCTCCTTCAGCTGTTTCTACTGTTTATTTCTCAGTTTACTTTCTGTCGTTCCTTTCCGCTCCGCTTCCCAGCTTCTTGGCTTTATTGTTAATATTTACGATTTTAAATTCTTCTGACCGTCCTTCACTATGGCCTCATTGGGAAAGCATTGGGAAAATCTTCAAAATCTTCAAAAACGGGACACCCCTACTTTATTATTTATTATGTATTTATTTGATATACTTTTACTTTGTCTTTTTCCATTAAAAAAAGAACAAGCCGGCTGAGATCATTAACTGCCTGGCTCTTAAAAGACGGCCTTTCCATTCTCCCCACTTGGCTCCGGGTGCAGAAGATTTGCTTGCCAGCCAAGCCTGTTGCTCCTCCCCAGCTACCTCTTGTCATGTTAAAGCTTTTAAAATAACTGAAGGGCTAGATCAGTAGTTCCCAGCCTTGTGTCATCTTCTTCCCCGCTGATGTTCTTGGACTACAACTCCCAGAAATCCTGGCCAGCACAGCGAGTGGTGAAGGCTTCTGGCAATTGCAGTCAAAGAACACCTGGAGAGACCCAAAGCTGAGAGCCATTGAGCTTAGTTCATGAGCAATATGTGCCACCTGTTTTTAAAAGTGCATTCTTAATTTTTTTTTTAATTTCCTCTTTGCAGTGTAATGTCTGTGGCTGAACACGAAGAACCGGACAGCTTGGTTTGGCCAGCTTCCGGGATGACCGAGCCCCACGATCTGCAGCCTCAGGAGCCACCCAAGGCTCCCTCCCTTTCAGTCCACACCCCCAGTTCTGCCCCGTCCACCGAGGAGAGTAGCCTGAGTACCACGGAAACGGAGACGGCAGACCGACCGATCTCAGAAGGAGAGGTTTTGTACAGCTACGGACAACTGCTGGCTGCAAAAGGTGACGTTATCTCCCGCAACCTGTCCTTGTGTTAGCCAACATGTGTGCTCGCGCACGGGCATGCAGAGCTCCATCAACACCGCACAGCTGTAAGCACAGCTGTCGATGCTTGTTGGCTTCCAGGTTTTGGATGAAACCCCCACACACAGATGAGTGAGGCTCCTGCACAGCGGGAATGAAAATTTGAGGGAATGTTGGTGTGACAAACCCAGACCTACTGGGATCTGCCACACTTTCATTAAGCTGCCACCAACCATTCCCTTTAATAAGTCACACAGACCAGGGATGGATTTTTAAACAATAAAAAGAATAAGGTTTATTTAAATACACACACAGGCAAAATAAAACGATCAGGTGAATAACATAAAGTAACGTGGCTTAGTTTCACTCATACATACACACAGTTTGGTTCACACAGAACCCTTAACTTGAAGCACAGACCCTGAACCTATCAGTTCTGGCTAACCATACAGACACCTGAACCTATCAGGTTGGTACTCTGACACACAGTAGTACCCTGTCTGACACACAGACTCCCACAACAGCTCCTTCTTCCCAGCTGCTGCTTCGTCACATCCCAGCGTCT